TAACCTTGCATTCATCGCTGAGCACAGCTGAGGACAGGACGAGAGCGGTGGGAGATGTAATCAAAAGCTTAGGGGAAGAACATATTCCAGGTATAAGGAATGAGGTACTGTTTGTGCTAACTGAATCAAATCCTATATGTGTGTCCTTCTAATTTCACCCCAATTGTTGGAACAGTATAAACCATTAACACTTGTTTTGTTATCTGGTCTAACTGTAGTTTCATTTTATTTGGATGATCAGCTATACCCTGTGACATCATCCTTTGGGTCACCCATATTTTTCTCTCTAGAACGTGCAGCTGCTCCTTATTTTGGAATAAAGGTTTGTTTCTGCGATTTGCGCCACCTTTTTACCTTGGTCTAGGTGATTAAACAGTGAATTATAATCAATTTTTGATGCATCTCTAGCAACTCAATTTGGCTATATTAATCTGTATGATAAATGGCAACTGGCTCATTGGATTAATTGGTGATATGTATCTAGCAGTGCCTGTAGTTTGTTATTAAATCGACATGGAGGTTCTGTGAAAGGGCTTGATAATGAGGTTTTGGAGGTGACTGTGTGCGCTGTAGTGTTGGCTAGAGAGGAATATAATATTTTTTTGTAGGGTTAGAAATTTCTGTGGTAGCATTGAAGGGTTAATTAGTCTGGTCGCTTTTTCAGTGGTCACGTAGGAAGCCAGCTAACTCTTTTATTGTTGTTCATTTGATTTTCTTGCAACTTTCATTTTTAACATTCTTTTATGTATACTTCTTGTTGGAATAGGCTTATGGAGTGCATATGAATGGCTATGTTGAAAAGGATGGGAAGAAGTTTCTATGGATAGGGAAGAGAAGTCAACAGAAACCCACTTATCCAGGGATGCTTGATCATCTAGTTGCTGGGGGACTGGTTTGTAATGAGCCTCTCAACTCGCTTCAAGGCATTTTAGTTTCAATTCTATCAGTATTTAGGCTGTCAAAGGGAGCTTGCTATGGTTTAGTTTGCTTTTGGGAGCTATAGTAACTTCTATTACATGACATGTTCCTAGATTAGACGGCTCTGGTGCACTTTACTGTCAATGTAATTGGTGAAAATACTTGACCAAGAACTGGCTGGATTTTATGGTTGTAATCTGAGGCAAGTGGAAGAGCAAGTGGTTCTTCCTTGCCTGATATTTAGAGGCCTACTTTAAGCTTAGCAAATGCAAGTGGCAGGTTTCTTGATTCCCAATCTTGGAAAATAAGTTATCAAAAATGATAAAGTTTATACAATACTTTCTTCGTTAAGCCTATTTTCTAGTTAGCAATGATCTTAATGTGTTTATGAGCTAAAATTTTATTATGTATCCCCTGTTTGTAATTGCAGCCTCATGGGGTTGCATGTGGGGACAATGTTGTAAAGGAATGTGAAGAGGAAGCCGGAATACCCAGTTCCATTTCTAGTGTGTAAGTTTTTGTTAACCATTAAATTATCAGTATATTATCTTATTTAAATCATGCCTTGTTTGGCTATGAAATTGAACTTTATTTGGCTAACTCACTGCCTCAAGTTAGAAATTGTTTTTATTGCAAAATCTCTCCCTCTCTCTCTCTCTCTCTCTCTCTCTGAGTGATGGGTTTGGCAATGCTTCTCATACAGAGCTATACCAGTTGGTGCTGTTTCATATATGGACATTGATGGTTATAGATACAAAAGGGATGTCTTGTTTTGCTATGATTTAAAACTTCCTGAGAGTTTCACGCCTAAGAATCAAGGTAAGACCCTTGGAGCTTAGCTTTTACCTATATTAGTTGTAAACTTTGCCTTCAGCTTTGTCATTTTTCACCTTTCATTTCATCCTAAACCATCTGCAATTTCCCCCCTAATGAACATGTGACAGATGGAGAAGTGGAGAGCTTCAAGTTGATCCCTGTGACGGATGTTGCAAACATCATACGAAGGACACGATTTTTCAAGCCAAATTGCTCTCTTGTCATCATTGATTTCCTGTTTCGACACGGGTATTTTGAATTTTACTACTGAAATTCATACATTTAGATACATTGCTTTTTGCATATACTGACTGTTTAGCTTACCTGACAATGAACCATGTGGTGATGATGTATGTATAGCCATCATCATCATCTGCCTGTAACCCTAGTTCTGGGTTCTGGCATCTTTAGGATAAGTTATTTGCCCCTACCCAACTTTCCCGCTTTGGATCAACCTGTAGTATTTACTGTAATTTTTTTTTTTTGGACGAAAGTATAATTTACTGTATGGTAAAGGACCAAACCTACAATAGTTTATTTTAAGAACCATAGTGCACTACTACCTGCGATCCCCTTCTAAAATCTGACGTTTGTTTTTAATCAATGCAGGTACATTAGGCCCGAATGCTTTGGATACCTGGATCTACTACAAAGTTTGAGGAGTGGTGATTGTTCGTAATTGTATAAAAATAAATAATAATAATAATAATAAAATTCCTTTTTGGCACTGCCTAATTGTAATTTTCTTTTTAACTGTTCTGTTTCTTCCCCCAAAATTATACAAGCTGTGTGACAAATTATGAAAATAACCGAGCGGCTATACTGAAGAATTACCCGTGTTGGACAAAATTGTTTCTTGAAGCCTTTTGTGGTTTCCGAAATCTTTTCCCATAAAAGGTTCCTTAAGCATAGGGTTTAGGAACAATATGAATTAATAAATCAAGGAAATTACTGTAATTTATATGAGAAGCCAAAAAAAAAACCCCTTCAACTCAAATTTCCCATAAATGTGTCGTTCCAAGTAGTCCTATAAAAGGGTCGTTCACCTAGTTTTCTTCTTGCTACCTCCTTTCTTCTGAATCCTACTTTTATTCTTAAACCTTGAAGCCTTTAGTGGAGAGAATAGTTAAAACACTCTTCCCTTCAAGCTTCTTTGACATCTTCACCACACTTGATATCCCTTTTCTTGCAGTTGCCCTATGCTCCGGCCTACGGCTCATCATTTTTCGATCAAGTGGCCAATATGCATACGGTTCAAGCTTGTCCTTCCTCTTCAAATCCCCACGAGCCTTCTTGCTTGCGTACTCTTTGCCGGTGGCAGCCCACCCGGACTCTGATGTCTTCCTCCGCTTGTGTGTTTTCTTTGAGTCTACGGACAAGTAACTACCACCAGCTTCACTTCTTGCATCTGAATGAGGTTTGGATGGCTTTTTCTTTGTACGATTCTGCTTCGTCACAAATTATTAGGCGCCCATCATCATCTATCTCTGGCTCATCATCCGACTCCATTTTTCGCTTTAAATTCTCGGATGATAAAAGCGCTGACCTTGTTCTTTGCCGATCAAGCAAGTCAAGTGGCTCATCTTCTAGTTGATCAAGCAAGTTCTTATTTGTTCTTCTTCTGTATTACGGATAAACAATTGTGTTAATTTACCTCAGGCATAGGATGATGTACAACTTGCAAGAAATGGCAAACAAAACCACCAACTGAACCGCAGGCTAGATGATCAACTGGATAAATTTGCTTTAAATGGATCGTGTTTATTTATCAAATCATTGTTTTAACATTTCTAGACCATCAGATATTATCCAGGAGCACCTGTTACCCAAACTTCTAGCTACTAATATTATCATGGAAGATGCATATATAGTATAGTAAGCTAAGCATTCCCAACCAAAAATGAAAATGAAATACAACCTACCGTAATGAAGATGTTTTGGATTTGAGCTGCAAGGAAGCCTTGCGACGTTTGCTCGAGACTATTTTGGCATCCATATAATCTGTATCATTATCCTCAGTTTCTTCATCATCAAAATGAGAAAATATTTTTGTATGGTTCCACCTGCTTAACCTGAAAGGAAGATAGAAAATAATAGAAAGTTACAAAACATAGCCAAGGAGAGGCTGAATTGAAGCTTATATCATATAAAGCTTCATGGGCAACATACACGTGTGTACAATAAGACATAAAAATGTACAAATGTATGTGTTGTGCTCGAGGATTTATTAGTTTTAAAACTGTGGAAGACAGAGACCTGGATGTAATTGCTTTGGAAACTTGAGATCTAGCTTCCTCAGATTTAGAACCTAGTTTCCACTCTTTCCGTTCCTTGATCTGTGTTCAATAAACAAATGAAAAATGAAGATCAGAAAGGATAAAAAAAAGAGTGACTACCCTGGAAATTTTCATTCTACCAAGACGTGTGTCAACAGACCTTCCGTATGTTGGTAAGCAGTTTCATATGTTTTTCAGGCATCACAGCCTTAACAGCATCAAGCCCACATTTCCTGACTAGCATTTCTAGAAGAAACTTAACCTGAGATCAATTCAGGTTTGACCAGCAAGTGATAAGAATTTGGGCAAGTTATCAAACCAACTGAACTCAATGACGTCAAAATTTAGTTGCAAGAAGGAAACAACCTTGGCTTTGAAGTGGGTTTTAGTAGCATCTTGCAACTTCAGCAAGCTTTCCACCATGCTTTCCAAGTGCAATTGCAACCTCTCGGTTTGTGATTTGGCCACTAATACCTTCCAGAAACCTAAAGTAGCCTGCAGTAACGAAAAGCCCAACGAAGAATAAAAAATAAATGAAAATATTTATATAAGATCAATTGAAATAACAAATCACACAACGATTTATTAAGCAGTTAACTCAAAATAATTAAATAACTCCAAAATGCTGATCTAAAAGAGAGGGGAACATACTTTAATTATTTCTTTGTTCTTTCTCTGGAGGAGGAGAGATGTGGATGGAAGCAAATTGCTAGCGGTTGAAACAACATCAGAAAACTCATAAGCCAACCGAGCTGAGCCCTTCATTGCAGCACTGATCATATGAGGAGTTTCACGAGCTATGCACCCAGCTACCTGTGACCATAAGATCAGCTCAGACTTGCTGCATATTTATATATGAATTTCTACTCTGGTCCACAGAAGAGCAATGCAATTAAAGATGATTGAATCAGTAATAATCAAAAGGAGGAAGGGGGCAAAAGAGGTATCAGTAAATTTGATCTGTAATAACTGAGCAGTCTGAAACAATATTCAGTACCATGTGAAAAAATTTCAACAGGTCTTCTCTCTTCCCGCCTTTCTCTTCATCACCATAAGCATGCCCAATTTGGACAAGGATATCATAAGCTCTATTTCTTGTCTTATTGTGAGCCTGCATTGAAAGAAAAAAAATTCATTAACAATTCATATCAATCATAAAGTTTAGAAGCCGCAGCATGCAAGATCTTTTACCTCTTTCAATGCAAGAATTGTATCCGTCAAGAATATTAAAAATACATATTAAACCAGATATTCCAGCTGTTGAACCACTTTACCTCTGTAAGTGCAAGAATTATTTCTGCCAGGAAACTGAGGATGACATGCCGCCTCTGCTCTGCGCCACTCTACAAAAAGATTGAAGTCCTTAGGTACTGAATGGCATACGTACGAAACTTGAACCTAAACTTTATTCCCAATAATTTAAGAACTAACGCTACAAGGAATGAATCTTAGATGAATTAAAAATTGAGGTGTCGTTTATTTATGGATACCTTTGAAAGGTGGACTACTAGGAGGTACAAGCAATCAAGTCTGTGCTGTTTAGCTGAAAAATGGCAAGAAGGCAGCACTTTAATCAAGTCAAGCAATTCATCGAGCTTCGATGAAAGAAACCTATCACAGTCCTGACCATGCATTCAGCAAAGAGATCCATTAGGAAAAAAAAAAAAAAACACCCCAGCAGCACATAATTTCATCTTATTGTTTCTCCTTTTTCATATTTTTGAAAACATTAGTATTCCAGAAGATTATGATTGATATCTGTGACCATCACTTCTTTAACTACGACATTAGCCGCAAAACAAACCAATTACAACCTGTAAATCATGTTTTCCCATATTTTCCACTGACAGATGATGACAATTCAGGTCACAGAATGGAAGCATTTAACAGATAATTCATAAAATTCAAAGCATATAAATCATTAACTATTGCATACCCTGAGAATGATTGAAAGAACTTTGTATGCCTTCTTTTGTATCAAACCTTCATCATCCTGAAGTCAGGAAGCCCTTAGTTAGTGCAACTTTTTCTTTTTTTTTCAAGCATTGGAGGATCCCTTAGAAGTGAAACAAAATAGCCAGACGGAAGAGAAACCCTTTCAAACCTGTAATGCAGGCTTTATTCTACCAAATAGAAGATCAACCTCTTCAGCATTTAAACCAGGTAAAAATGAAACTGCCAAGTCAAATAGTTGTGCCCTGCAGTTAAGATGGAAGAATTAATGTAATGTCAGAAATTCCACAAAGAGAGAAGTAATAATTAAATTATAAAAATCAAGAACTTAACAAAAGAATGGTATACCGCTTGCAATTAGAATCTCTAGAATCTTTTGCTTTCGTAACCTCTTTAATGATTTCTAAAAGCTGTGTCCTTTTTTGTTTGAAACACTTTGACACGGTTTCTTCATCTGATATTGAAACAAACTCGCCAATTGTGGACTGTAAACGGTGCAAACATAATTATTCTCAACTTCACAGAAATTGGAGCCACATTAACAAGTTCCTTTTTTAAAGTACAAACACACACACACACACACACATATATATATCAAAGATAATGGTCTATTTTTAAGTATTACAAATAAAAAATGGGACCCACTATTGAAAAAGACAAGAATGTTAGGGGAAGCAGAGGAAAGAAGAGTAGAAAAGGTTGATACTGTAAAAAAGAGATTGGAGCTTATAGAGAGTCTGTCACCACCACATTTTGTTCCTGTGTCTTTGTTGCTCAATTATGTTGAAGTTCTTTAAAATATCCATTACCAGGTACCTAGTACATTGGATAAAGAGATAACTCTCCTCCACCTCTCTTTCTCGCATAAAAGATTGCGTCAGGAATACTCATTACTTTTTGGTTTTAACAAGGATATGCATGGTTCATAGGGGAGCTGTAACTCCAGTAGCAAACTCACAAATTCATGGCTATTTTAAAATCAATTCCAATTTGCAAGTATTTTACAGGACAAACACTATAAGACAGGGCATATAACATCAATCTGCGTGAGTACCTGCAAACAGCCCGCATCATCTTTTGTGGTATTCGAAAAGACATCTGATAAAACATCCAGTAACTTGCAAGCAGATGACTTGAGCACGCTTAGGTTATCTGCTGTAACCTGAGGGGTATAATTAGCCAAGGCTCTATGTCTGGCACTACCTACTTCACTATCAGCCAGAACATTCACTTCTTCCACGGTTTTCTTATTTTGTTGAACAAGAATCTGCAAGCTCGAGCATATTATTCCACGAATCTCAGGTTCATTTTCAAGGGCACCGCACAGGGCTTGCTCTAGATCATTGAAACTTTCAGCAGTATCGGAAGCATAGTTGCAAAATGAAGGTAACAATGACCACAAAGCATGTACAAGTGCATCTGTACTTCTTGATGAAAAAGTACGTCCTTGTGACTCAAGCTGCCAATTACAAGACGTAACTAAAAAAATTCTATTTGAAATAATCA